ATATCCTTCTCATAATATAGTATTCCATTTAATAATGCTGCATATGTGACAATAATTTTTAGGTTTTGGCTCATATGACACGTCACATGTTTCTTAACAATGCTGTATATGTGACAATAATTTTGGGGTTTTGGCTCATATGACACATCACACGTTTCTTAATAGTGCTGTATATGTGACAATAATTTTTGGGTTTTGGCTCATATGACATATCACACGTTTCGTTTCGTCTATATCCCTTTTTTATTAATTTTACCTAAACAATGTTTCAGTAGTCAAATGATTTTAGTACATACATCGTACGCGAAGCATGAGTTTATCCCCAAGTTTAAATTAAAACATAGAAAATGTAGTCTTAAAACAGTACGTAACTAAAGTTTTATACTTTTAACACAGTTAGTGAAACTTGTTTCAACTTAAAGTTTTCTTACTTAATTATCTCAACTTTAAATTGGTGCCAAGTCATAAAACAATTAAATCTGTGTTTAATTTTCATGTAACTGATATATGCACATATTAATGTAGGTTTAGAAGAGTTGTGAAACAACATTATTAAAAACATATCGTTGCACTCTTGGGGAATGTCAAAAGAGATTTCATAAATTAACGGATATTCTCATATTAATCTTTTATTATTATTTTTATCTGAAAGGTAAATGTAGTTTTTCTAACTTTATTGTCGAAAATCTCTAAATCCTTTTAGTACCCACTTATAATTTATGAAAAAAACAACAAAATTTAAATTTATGTGTGTGTGTGTGAGTGTCTGTGTTAATTTTTACTCTCAAACCCAAGTGTTCATCACACACTTGCAGCCGACTACTGCCTACGTTTGAGATTACGTCGTACGTTCTATTTCTGTTAACTACGTTGGGTCACAACTTCTTAAAATCGTCGACAAGAAAAATGTAAAACAATTTGAGAGCAGCCGAAAATAGTTATTCTGGCACGAAACACACGCACACAAAGGACTCACTTTTATCACATACATAAAAAATAGTAGACTTTAGAGATTGAAAAAATGTCAAGTTCTAGATAAACTAACCAACGGTTTGTGTTCAAAAATACGAGTAAAAATACATATTAATTAATGGGTGATAGATTTATGAAAAGTTGGAACAGACAGTGTTTTTATATTGTTCTTCAATGAGTAAGACGAGGCTCTGCCATAATAAAACAGCGAGGTAAAAATAAATACACGAGATCTGAGAGATTTCTAAGTGTAGACCTAAAATCATGCCATAGGCTGTGTTTATTAAAATATCTAATAAACTTAAAATAAAACAGCGAGGTAAAAATAAATACACGAGATCTGAGAGATTTCTAAGTGAAGAACTAAAATCATGCCATAGGCTGTGTTTATTAAAATATCTAATAAACTTATAATAAAACAGCGAGGTAAAAATAAATACACGAGATCTGAGAGATTTCTAAGTGAAGAACTAAAATCATGCCATAGGCTGTGTTTATTAAAATATCTAATAAACTTCATTACTTTCATAGTTTATCTTACAAAGTTAATCAATAAAAGTAATACATCATTTCGCTACATGTCTCGACCACATTTGTTCGGGTCATCATCAGGCAGAATGAAAATAGACGAGACAGTACTATATTTTAAAACTCGTTCCTATAACATGTGGTACATGTCATTTTTGAATTAACACTCTCTTTAAATGAAATAGCAAGAATAAATACATGTACACACCATACATAAGGTGAACTATTCAACATAATTATAAAACAATACGCAAGACATATTGACCTTGTTAGAAAAACGCGTAGGTTCAAGAAATCAATTTAAAACAAAAGTACGATACCATATAACCCGAGTTATTTTGAAAGGCGGACCTTTTTTCTTCAGGGGCAAAATATATTGTTAAAAGATATATATATACAATGTTAATCTAAGTCCAACTGGTCAGTTTTATATACATATGTTTATACAATGTCAATCCAAGTCCAACTGGTCAGTTTTATATACATATGTTTATACAATGTTAACCCAAGTCCAACTGGTCAGTTTTATATACATATGTTTATACAATGTCAATCCAAGTCCAACTGGTCAGTTTTATATACATATGTTTATACAATGTTAACCCAAGTCCAACTGGTCAGTTTTGCAGTCACTGTACTAGGTTCATCAAATAGTTGGTGACTTCCGTATTCTAACTTACAGAGCATTTCGTCACGATGTTGACGTTTTCAACAAAATCAGCTATCTTAACCATGTGGCCATGGCTAGAAGTTAACAAAATAACACGAAAAATAAGTTTGTTTAACTTCATCTGTTTATACAAAGAAAAAATACAAAATGTCGCTTTAATTAACACAAACTTCACCTGTTTATACAAAATGTCGCTTTAATTGACACAAACTTGCTGTGAGAGCAAAAACTGCACTTTATCATGTGTAGCAGAAGTTGTTATTAATTATAAACACCGTATCCTCTGTATTCTGTTACTTGGTGGTTTTCCTGTGTTAAAACTTTGTTACTTCTGTTACTTGGAAGTTTTCCTGTGTTAAAACTTTGTTACTTCTGTTACTTGGTAGTTTTCCTGCTAAAACCTTATTATTTCTGTTACGTAGTAGTTTTCCTGTGTTAAAACTTTGTTACTTCTGTTACTTGGAAGTTTTCCTGTGTTAAAACTTTGTTACTTCTGTTACTTGGAGTTTTCCTGTGTTAAAACTTTGTTATTTCTGTTACTTGGTAGTTTTCCTGTGTTAAAACTTTGTTACTTCTGTTACTTGGAAGTTTTCCTGTGTTAAAACTTTGTTATTTCTGTTACTTGGTAGTTTTCCTGTGTTAAAACTTTGTTACTTCTGTTACTTGGAACCTTACTTCAAACAGCTCACTTTTATCGTGAACATAATAATTACCCTTGTAATAGAGACGTTTAGTAAGTCTACCAACCTTACTTCAAACAGATCACTTTACAGGAATACAGGAATAGATGTAACAAGGCTTTAACATAGGAAAACTGCCAAGTTACAGAAGTAGCAAGATTTTAACATACGAAAACTACCAAGTAACAGAAATAATAAAGTTTTAATACAGGAAAACTACCAAGTAACAGAAATAACAAAGTTTTAACACAGGAAAACTACCAAGTAACAGAAATAACAAAGTTTTAACACAGGAAAACTTCCAAGTAACAGAAGTAACAAAGTTTTAACACAGGAAATGTACCAAGTAACAGAAGTAACAAGGATTTAACACACGAAAACCACCAAGTAACAGAAGTAACAAAGTTTTAATACAGGAAAACTACGTAGACTTACTAAACGTCTCTATTACAACAGTAATTATTATGTTCATAATAAAAGTGAGCTGTTTGAAGTAAGGTTGGTAGACTTACTAAACGTCTCTATTACAACAGTAATTATTATGTTCATAATAAAAGTGAGCTGTTTGAAGTAAGGTTCGTAGACTTACTAAACGTCTCTATTACAAAGGTAATTATTATGTTCATAATAAAAGTGAGCTGTTTGAAGTAAGGTTGGTAGACTTACTAAACGTCTCTATTACAAGGGTAATTATCATGTTCATAATAAAGTGATCTGTTTGAAGTAAGGTTGGTAGACTTACTAAACGTCTCTATTACAAAGGT